AAATCTGTCCAATAGATATCCTCGCACGATTAACAGCTTGTTGAAACCAAACAGTTTCCAACTTTTGTTTTTTTGTATACCGCACATCGTTGTATTCGGCATAAACGCTACTCAGTACAGTATGTATTTTTTTGCGGGCCATGTAAACATATAAAGTTCTGTTCAAATAACATGAGATAAAAATAAAAGCAAAATCGGCATATTTCGGTTTTTCTTAGATCTCTTTGGAAGTAATCGGAATTTTCTGGTTTTTCTTTATAGCATGATAAAACAAACGTTTAATTGTGCAATTTTTCCCTAACTTGACCATCGTCGTATCTTCTATGATTTCGGAGATCCCCACGAAGACATTCTTATCTTGGACACGCGTATGAATTCAATAATTCCTCTTCTCGAAGTACAAATAATAAAGAATTTGGTATGGGAGATGATAAAACCGTAAATTGGGAAAAGATATGATAATGTGGATATTCGTAGAGAAATACAGCGAAGAACATCACTTCTGCTAGGGGTAAATCGAACCACAATAACGATGACTGACCCTCATACTTCGTTGTGTTACGGTAAAAATTCTAGATTCATTCGGTTCTGGGCAAGCAGAGCGACACTGTGTTGTTGGGAGTTCGCAAAATGAGTCCGGTAATTAATCCCAGAAAAGTTCTTGAATAGGTTTTCGATCGGAAAAATATATACCAAAGTATAATGACGTAGGTTCATGTACGAATAAATTAAAACCGTGCGGGGTTCGTCGACGCAGTTTTTTCTTAAATACACCCATCAAACGTCCATAAAAAATACATGCGTCGCAATCTTGTATGAAGCATATTATTATGGCTCTACTTCATAAAATACGAAGGTTATATGAGGGACGCAGAACATGTCTTTAAAGAATTAAACGTAACTTAGGTTTAAATTAACCGATTTCCACAAAATTGGTCTTATTATCGTAGACTAGAAACCAATGTCGAAAAAAAATTCAAAGGGCTGTAACTTTTGAACTAGTAGCCCAATATTGGAACTGTTTGAAATTATGGAATCTACAGGCCACGTTCTATAAGAAAAATTTTTTTCCGGGTCGATCTGAGAAAATTTTTTTTCGGGACTCAAAAAAAGGCAGTGTGTAACCTTCCTTTTTTACCAAAAATCGACTGCAACAAAATTTCTCGGGAAAACACTTTTTCTTATTAATTTTGGTGCTTAGAACCCAAAACAATCCGTACTTTTTACATCAGACTTCTGAATCAAAAGTTATGGGCTAGAAACCAATGTCCAAAAAAAATTCAAAGGGCTGTAACTTTTGAACCAGTAGCCCAATCTTGGAACTGATTGAAATTATGGATTCTACAGGCCACATTCTATAAGAAAAATTTTTTTCCGGGTCGATCCGAGACAATTTTTTCTTCGGGCCTCAAAAAAAGGCGTTCCTTTTTTACCAAAAATCGACTGCACCAAAATTTCTCGGGAAAACACTTTTTTTAATTAATTTTGGTGCGTAGAATCCAAAACAATCCGTACTTTTTCGATCAGACTTCCCAATCAAAAGTTATGGACTAGAAACCAATGTCCAAAAAAAATTCAAAGGGCTGTAACTTTTGAACTAGTAGCCCAATCTTGGAACCGTTTGAAATTATGGATTCTACAGGCCACATTTTATAAGAAAATTTTTTTCCAGGTCGATCTGACACAATTTTTTTTTCGAGCCTCAAAAAAAGGCAGTGTGTATGTAACCTTCCTTTTTTACCAAAAATCGACTGCAACAAGATTTCTCGGAAAAACACTTTTTCTTATTAATTTTGGTGCGTAGAATCCAAAACAATTCGTACTTTTTCGATCAGACTTCTCAATAAAAAGTTATACTCGTATAAAGAGTATAATGAGATTTTGCAAGACTACTTTTTAGTAAATGTGATAGTGGTAGAAAAACGCGGTTTGACATTAACACAAACCTTGCAGGATTTTTAGAAATTTTTAAATGGAACAATATCATTATTATTTAATATTATCAAATAAGATGAAGAAGGAGGAATATCAGTGAAAACCGCATTTTAGAGTCTGTTCTGGAAGGAGAGGTATGGCGAAAATACGCACATTCACAAATTTGGATTGCAATAATCATCCAAGTCGAAAACAACAGAAACACAATGCCACGCCTCAGCAGAGGATTCTTCTTTGTATCGAAAATAATGGCAGACAGTTTGCACAATTACGTTCTTACATTGAGTGGATAATTTTAATTATTATTTCAATTATCGCTTGTTATGTGTTCTTTTGTTTTCAAATCCAACTTGGATGAGTATAAATATTGCATATTTAAATTTGTAAATGTGCGTATTTTCGCCATATCAAAATGCGGTTTTCCCCAGAAAAAAATTCATATCAATACACCCAAATTATACCCTCCAGACCGAAAAACAAAGTGCCTAAGCTCGTTTCCAAGTTATATCGAGACTATATGTACCACAAAATGGCCATACTCCAGAAACAATGTTCAAAATTTGAAATTAGACGCACGATGATTATTAATACTACATTTCACTTTAACGTGGCGAACCAAACCTGCTCGTCCAAAAAAATGCGGAAAATGATGTTTCGGAGGAACCCAACAATAAAGGTCGTCACAAACGAAAGGACAGATAGTTTAAATGTTACAGCGACTCTCAAACAAAAATTACAGTCTCAGTCAACAAATAATAATTAATACGGCCTTGCAAAAATAAAACTGTTCGCTTTCTCTACCTTATAAATCAATGTACCTATTATTTAATTGACAACAGTATGACGAGTCAGTCGTCTTTGAATACTATTCGTTTAAGAATTTCGTTTGTACTTTTTTTAACAAGAGTTTGTCAATTTTATTTCACACACTGCAGTTTGCACATTCAACAATCTGGATATATTCTCTCGACGTCCTTGGTTCACTTATTTTCCGGGAGCAATTTGTAAAAGATGTGAATGCAAAGATGTCTGACCATCTACCTTAGGGTAAGTATATTGTTTCTCCGCAACTGGAGCGCTTTGCGGAGTATCTACAGTGTCTGGTTTATTTCACAGGGTCGATACCATCATTTCAGGAGCATTAGCTTGCTAAATGATCCAACGCTTTACATAAAAAACAACGGGGTAAGGGGTTCAATCGAAGACACGAAAATCCGGTAGTAACTGATGATTCAATGTCATTGTATCTTGAATAAAATTGAGGACGATAAAAGTAACCTATTTAAATCTTCCTTCTTTTTATATTAATCCCTTTGAATTCATTAACTATCACACTAAATGATAAGGAAGAGAAAGGACTCGAAAGTACAAGTGTCTTTTGTAGATCCTAATTAGGTACTTACTAAAATTGACAATTTGCCGATATTCCTCGCTGGTTCACAGCAACAATCTGGTCAACCACTTTTTTACATATCAAGTATAAGAAAGTAGGCTCACCTGTAATTGGAGTAGATACAAATATTAAATTTTGAAAACGATTTATTTATCCGAGTGCTAATAATATATCCCTTAAGTATCATTTTTCTTATAGCAGTAATAACTAGTGCTTAATCTAGCCCGGGAAATGCGATTTTAACCATAGAAGCAGAAGACTATGGCTTTGTTGCTCAGATCAAATTAATCCCTTATTCACAATGTTGCTGGACGTTTCAATATGTTCAAAGACATATGAACCACCCCCGAAAGGCAAACATGAGCACCTAAGCGTGTTTTGCACGGGACAAGATTCCCATACTGAGAATATAGTAAACCAAAAACAAGATAATGTGAACTACTAATGGGCCTTCGGTAAAAGGAGAAATGTATCAATCGTAGGTACTAGGTATAGTGCCATTAATTTCATTTTCAGTCTTAAACATTATTTCTGAAGATAGTCGATACCAGGCGAAATGTAACAAAAATTTGCCCGAACATATATTTCAATCAAATTTGTGCAGTAAGTCAATAACTGCTTTCGTAATTTTTTAAAAGCCCTGCATTAATATTTTCATTAGTATCGTAATGAAATTAGCAAAGTAACGCAATGCGAGGGAAATCAATAGGAGGCACGAGTGCCAGTATTTATATATTAAGCTCATACATCAAAAAGAAGATTTACCGTTCGTTTATTCAGTAAGGGTAGTCAATGTGGTCACCGGAGGGATTTCACCCTATTGCTGAACGCTGTGATGGGCTTTTTAACTCGAATCACAATTGTAGCTACCTGCAATATATCTCTGTTATTTTATTTTGATCTCGCCATCGCGGCATCATCAGTAATGAAAAAATAATCTCTATGCACGTCATAAAGTTAAATTATTTTCTACGGGTAAATCTGCCTCAAATAATGTGTTGTATGCTGAAGCGTTTTAACTAACAATTCGAGCTCTGTAATGCGATGTAGGTACGATAAAACTGTGTAAGGACTTGCTCTTGGCGTTATGTTATGGAAGGATTGATAAGACAGTTACACTACTTGGCGAAACTTGGAGTTTTAGATGTGCCACTCTTGAACCCGTTGATTGTCTCTGTAGTGGAAGCCGAGGGAGTTTAGTAAGTTATCCAAGATAAATAGACGCGTAATTATAAGGGAGGTAACACTTGCGCTTCTTGTGGATAACTATAACAAGCTCTATTATTTATAGCTACGATATAATTACTAACCGAAATTTATATCTTGATCATGCATGGTAAACCTTACGACACCCTCAGGGAGCGGATGTTCTCAACTAAGTCCCGTTATGAAACAATGTAAAGCACATTAACTCGGTTTCTATACAAATGCGACCAGGCCTGCAAATGAATCATTTAATTTGTACGTAAATTAATGAAAAAAATTTATTAAAATCGATGCAAATACATAGGAAAGATCATCTCATACAGTGCAAGTTTTATTTGATACCCACGCTGAGTGGAATCGGGAGTAGAAATATTAGTGTTATATTTCTGGGGATGAACGTGGGGGTGATAGACCTGCGCCGAAGCGTTCGGCCAGCAGAAGAACAAAACTACGGGTCACGTGATACACCGACGCAGTATGGCAGCAAACGGTAAACGAGAATTTCACGTTTTAGAGATCAGTCCTCGAGATAATGCGAAGTTGTGCACATCTACAAGTACTTTCAACATGTGTGCTCTGTTATACGAAAAGTAACACTGATCTGTACGGATTCGTTACGGTTCATTTATAAGTTACGTTACGGTGACTAGAACTAAATACGACGAAAGTCTAAACCGACCTGTTTATTTTCTCCTTGCCCATGTTCGCGCTCTGCTCGCCCTGCAGGCCTCAGAAAGGAGGGCAAGCCCGGTTAATACATCAATTTATTTGCTTTGTTTTTTTAAGGGCACTAGTGTTATTAACACTTTCGATGCTCTACGTGTAACGTGTGAAAATATAATTAAATCTCCGAAATGAGGTTTTTCATTTAAATGGGAGTGTCGGCAATTCAGTTACAAGATGCTCGTTTTATAGATACAACATGGTGCAAAAAACTTAATTTAGCTCTTTAACACTATAAAATGGCTCTTAAACATGCACTTGGGGCTGTTGTGGTTTTCACGTCCATCGTAGTGTACCACAACAGCTGTTACTGCGGATTTGTCTTTGACGACATCAGTGCAATTAAGGATAATAGAGATTTAAGACCGCACACGCCGTTAATAAATATTCTCTTTAACGACTTTTGGGGAACCCCAATGCACAAGGTAAGAACCCCCCTCCCGAATAATAGCATGAAAGCTTCACTCACGGCACCACCATGGACATTCAACTTAGATCAGGCCAAATTAAAAATCAAGGATCAAACGCAATCTCCACCCCCTCATCATTATTCACGCGGTCTTTGTCATGGAATACAATCTACTTAAAAGTTTAATATGACTATAGATTAATGGTAATTTTGGAATAGGGACACACTTAACGGCCTAACTTTAATTACTCCAACGTAATTGCATGCAATTTCACATGTTAATCAAGACGGGTGGGATTTCAAATCGAAAAGTTCACCGTACCATGTAATTTAAGTATAACAAGCATTTAATCGCGGTTGACGTTCGAATGTCGGATGCCTAAATCAATTTTGCAATGAGCCTAGTAAATGCAATTAACACTTATTCCGCAAACTTTTGTATTACCAGGAGCAAAGTCACAAGTCCTATCGACCCCTGACAGTCTTAACGTTTCGATGGAATTATATGTTTCAACAACTCGAGCCCATGGGATATCATCTTGTCAACATGCTGCTGCATTCGGTTGTGTGCTTGATGTATTTTAGGTGAGTAAAATTAGTTAGTTCCCCATTCCATAGTTACATACAGAGGATGTGAGCTTTATGGAAATTGAATTCACAGCTCGCTCTTTGGTTAAAGGATTTTAAGTGAGAGCCACAAAGCAGATGAATTTGTAAACTTGTAGGAATCTTTTTAAATTAACTGTTGTTTTTCTAAAATATGATGGAAAACGAACTTACGACGTGAAGCTACGAATCTTTCATATCACATTCTGCCATAGCCAGACATTATACTTCCGTAAATTACTTACGAAACTATCAAATTATCTCGTCTTGTTTCGTAACCAATGGATGAATTTGGGAAATTCATTATCAAACGAAGACCGAATTGGACATTGAAATCGCAGTCTCTACTCCCTTGGCTTGTGTCGAAGCGCGCGTTGGGAATCATACGTATCTAACCCAATCAGTGTGTTACAGTCCAAAAAAGATATAATTGCGAAGCATAAGCGGGAATACTGATATTAGTGGAATGCAGTTAGTTTAAATTGCTGTGCTGCAAGTTATCATTTCCTTGTCAGGTACCACTTTAATGTCAGTGCCTGTGTTTTCGCAAATAACTTAAAAAAAGCTTTCACACACATTAAAGACGAGTTATTGCGTGAAAAACCTGCCTTTGTAGTTCCATTTCGCATTTGCTTTCGAGATTTTTACATCTGAGACGAATACCAATTATTTAGTGGAATGCTTCCATTCGTATTGGTACACATTTACGATCTGATGTGTAAGCAGTATATAGTGACAATTTTCTTTCGTACCCATCTTGAAAGTTTAATAGGTTTACTTTTGCGATGTTCGCTAAATTTTGAAAAGTGTTTAAAGTTTCCCACTTCGTAAGTGAAGGTAGTCGTTAGTCCTGTTGTGAATTTTGAGTGCAATATGGAAGACTTGGTTTATTGTATTGTGTACTTTTATACTGTAATATTCATAATAATGCTTGCCGATTTATTTGTTTTGTTTCATACAGAGAATCATCCCCATTAGCAATTAAGGTCGATTCGACTTCAAATATGTAACGGCGCGAGCCTATAGAGCCTAGAGTAGACATTGCTGAACGCGTTACTGTAGCAATATGATGCGAAAATGTAAATTTGGAATCAAAGTAAACGCATAGGTCTTTAAAATATATATCGGGTGATCAAAAAGAACTGCAGACAGTTTAAATTGGGCGCTTTATAAGCTTTTAATATTTTTTACTTAAGGAATTGGCAAACATGTTTAGAAGGTAGTTTATTTATGCATTAGTGATTAAATTCATCCACCACTGCTTTTACATAAATGACATTTGGTATGTTACCAACGTTATAAATGTTTAGTTTTACGGAAAATTCAAATTGTCCGCACTACTTTTCGATCACCCGGTATACTAACACGAGTACTAACACATACTAATTACTAGTGAAACAAACAGGCATTTTCACGCCACTATTTTAGTCTATTTTTCATTGAATTTTATGGTGTCGAAAAAATAAGCGACACAACCGCACAGAAACAGCACAAGTGAGAGATGACCACAAGCATTAATATTCGAAACTATTTACTTATTTTGGTGAAATGCTACCAAATAGGCGATGTATCGTTTCGACCAATAGGTCGAAAAAACTTAATGGTATTCAAGTCATTTCAACCTGTTGGTCGAAATGTTATTAAGTTACTGTATTCTCTTATTACGTGTCTATGAAATTTTCTTCTATTCCTATTTAGTCATTTTGTCGACTTTCCTTGTCCCTTTAGTTAGGCTACAAATTGGCACAAATAATGCCCTCCTACCTACTGCTCCTATTAGGTGATAAAAGTTAGGTAGGTATATATTCCACTCTCTTAATTGGTATTCTTGACGTAGGTACTTCACCTATTAGATGACCATTTACCACAGTCCACAACGAGGTCCACAATCATAGTTTATTGCATCCTAATAAGGGTTTATTTCACCAATATATATCACCAGTACCTATAATAGGGAACATATTCACCTTCATCGATTCAACATAAACATTACGTAATTTCCACCTACTTTGGTCGAATTTCTTTTGCCCCAGGTTGCCGACACCTAAATTGCTGTCTGGATGAAACCCGAGGATAAACCTTACAAAAAAAGGTGTAAACAATAACAACTAAATATAACGAAACCAAAAAAATCTCTAGGCTATATTTAGTTTTTTTCAAAAATTTTACAATTAATCCCCCCCCCCTGCCGTTATACCGCTAGTACAAGCTGTAATCCACATGCCAAATAACTCCCAATAAGATCTACTGAGCCTAGGTACATACATCAAACCCGATATAGTCTAGTATTACAAGGGATGTGAAATAGTGTTAAAAGTAGTAAAACCTCTAGCACGAGATGTTTTCCTGCATCAGTAACAGAGAGTATTTCATCAGTGGTGCAGCTATGACCATCTCTAAACCCAGACGGAGTATATTAGGGGGCAATATATTATTAATCGTAAGATCCTTAATTTGACCATTGAGTTTCTTTGAGAAAGCCGGTAGAATGCTTATTGGTCGTAGATCACTAAAGGTGGTTGGATTATTTTTCTCTCGATTTTTCTTCGAAATAGGAGTGACAATGGCGGTCTTTCAGCTCGTTGGAAAGGTGTTATTTAAAATTATCTCGTTTATAAGCTACAAAAACTTCGATAGACTGTTCCTGATCATCGGGAAAATTCTGATACCAATTCTGATGTTAGAAAACAAAGGGTGGTTGTATTCGTTAGAAGCAAACAAGCTAAAAACAGTAAAAACTAGAAGGAGCCTATAACCCATTTCTTATTATTATGATGAGTAAATAAAGAGAAAGGGAGGAAAAGGGTATGTACCACTCAATTGCTAATGAAATATGACTGTATAGTATATCATACGAAGTCCGAACATATGTAGATAACAGATTTCATTTTAGTCCCAAAAACTTTTTTGGCTACAAAAAGTGGTAAATTTTTTACGTGAACGACAAGCGGTGGATATCCTTTCTTCTTCCTGATATGATTATTGGAACAAACATATTTAAGCTCTGTCCAACTGTGATAATCCCAAACTGCAACTTTGGTTTATAATTTAACTCTAGTCATTATGAAAACATATGGATTTGAAAGTCCTCAAATCCTCAAAGATTTTAAATTTGCACAGCTACGGGCTCTTTCCACATGTAAGGTATTGAGTTTCACAAAAGAATTTTAGTTCATTTTCAAAGCCATCTTAGTTTGCGATTCCAATAAAAATTCGGTATTCCATTGAATTTAAGTGCGCAATTCAATTTGAAAAGGCTGCAATTCCAAGTGAGATGGTCTGACAATAAAAGCATGTGAGGATGCCTATATCGTCGGCCGTTTGTTAAGACTAGATTTTCATCCATGGCATATACCGAGGCATATACATTGGTATAAAATCCAGGGTAAAATCCAAGGTAAAATCTTAACTCAGTAATTTGGCATACGTCCAACCATTCCTTAAAGTTTCATCGCAGTCGGATGAACAGTTTAGGCAGGCATAGGAGACATACAAGTAATCATACAAAAAAAATTTTTGAGCGGCAGAGAAAAGCACTGCGAGCTTTGTAGAAGAGTCGATGGTGTCCGTCTGTCTGTCTGTTCCTGAACACGATAACTGCCAAACGCTTTGACCGATTCGGTTCAAACTTTTCACAGTTGACCCTACATGCCACATGTAACAGGCCTAAAAGTGGGTCAACCTCAATGATCCAGTAGGGTCAAACCCTCAAACCGAGGGGCTTTGCCGTTTTATTATATATCCGCTTTAAAAGTTTGTTATTTATGCACTAACAGACCCGGCGAACTTCGTACTGCCTTCGGGAATTCTCGTTTTCTTGGATGGGACATACGTTCGGTAGCCGCCTCACCTCACACACCCTGTGAACTACATACCGCCTATCAGATAAGGTTTTCTTGGATGAGACATACGCTCGGTTTCGGTGGCTGCGCCGCTTCACCTCGCACACCCGATTTATTTATAGATATAAGAACTTTCGCGAGCAAATCGTTGGTCATTTCTCGAAGTTTCATCGCAATCGGATAGGCGATTTAGAGAGGCGTAAAAGAGAGACATACAAGCAAATAATTGTAGGGGCTAACTGTTGGCCAGAACTCATTATTAAGATGCGACAAATCTCCTGTAAACTCATTAGAAACGTCCTTCTGTAATCAGCTCGTACGATCATAAGGGGTGACGTAGCACTTAGCAACATTCAGTCTGACTGGTCGTCTTTCCCGGTCGAGGGTCATGTAAACAAACATCGCGACTGCTTAACTGTGATCATCACCAATTAATTTAGGTAACTAGCCAGAGAAGCTTCCGGCCCGAGCTGACCCTGAGTTCTCCTGGGTCTCCGAACCCACCGATTGGCGATTGGGGTTAAATGCGTCGTTGGACATGACATCCTCAGCTCATACCAATTTGAAAAAGGGACATACGTTGGGTTCCGCCTCACCTTCCGCTCCCCGTGAACTACATACCACCTATCAGTTAATGCTTCCTTCCATGGGACATACACTTAGTTTTAGCCCTACCTCTCACACCCGCCAAACTGCGTACCGATTTATAACTCTCCATTTGAGTAGGGATATGGCGTGGAACAGTTAATTGCGTAAATACACCTCTCCAGGGACACTATTTAACAACAGCATATTTATAGAACCACATCCAAAGAATGAAGATGGGGTACCCGCACTTCTATACTACAAATTAGTTTTCGGCGAACGAATGTTAATATTCCCGCACGTTATCATCCTGATATTAATCAATTTTAAATTTCTGTTAATTGAATATCTGTTTTTAATGAGGCTTAGAATAAAATTAATTTTGCCTTCCAAACGAATAGGTAGCTCGTTCTTTCCAAAGGACGGAGTTCATTTGTAAAATTACGAAATTAATTACAAAAACAGACCGGGATTAGTTCGTAGATCTAATTAGATTTTCAAATTAAAATTAATTGTTTATTGGTTCGTGCGGAGAATTATTATTAGTACCGA